TGTGTGTGTGTGTGTGTGTGTGTGTGTGTGGCCAGCTCAGCCCACCAAGGGGCGGGGCTGGCTAGCATGTGGTGCTGGGGGATTGAACCGCGGTCCCTGTGCTTTAGCTAAGCTTGTTCTAAGTAGGTGCTTTAGACCACTGAGCCATCTCTCCAGCCCCTCACAGATCTTATTTTTAGAAGTTTAAATTCCTCTAATGATTTGCAAGTTAGAAATGCTCAAATTGGGTGCAAATGTTTATTAGGAGCCAAGTGGCTATGTCTGATCCCCAGAACTGTGAAGACAAAAATTTAGATGTAGGGTTGGATGACCTGGGGCACAGAATCTCTGCTGTGCTGCTCACCCATCACACCTGGCACTGATGTCAGAAGACAGGGTTTGTACTGCCCTTCCTTCACTGACTTTGTTTTATTTTTTATGCAAAAGGCTCCCTGGATTTGTTTTATTTTGGGGGGGAGTTATTGTAGATTCTAATTTTATCATCATGTATGTAAAAACAAAATATTACACTTCAAATACTTTTAAGTCCTACTTACAGTTGAAATTTTAAGCTCCAAGTTTCAGAGGTTCAGAAAAACACCTACTTCCTGCCATTCTCACTGTCACTCTTTCTCAAGCCGTTCCTTTCTTCATGAATTAGAAACCTGGGTTTAGCCCTGGCTTGAGGCCTTTGTTCTGCTTAGCCATCATTGTTGCTGGACTTGGGACCCCCTTGGCTCCCCACAACTCAAAATATGCCTTAGTGTCTTTATTTTCACCATGGGTTGCACTGGAAGTGCTAGACTGGAATCAATCCCCTAGAATCCCAATAACATTTGCATAGGATGACAAATAAAAACTTCTTGGACCACAACAAGGACTAGAAAGGGCTCTTTGCATTTGTTACATGAAGGAACAACTGTGCTATGCACAATGATGCTTGTAAACTTAACACAACCCGGGACAAACAAAACATTGCTCAGTGCCTTCCTGAGGAAATCCCTCCTTCCTTTACTATGGACCTGTTCCTGCAATTGGCTGAGTCCCTCAATTTCATTAATGTTACTACTGGATTATGCAACTTTGAAATAATATACATTTTTACCATATTCTTGCCCAAACCAATTTAAAAGAAACCGCTTTGGATAGCTGTTTGTGGACAAAGTTTGCCTGCTCATTTTCTTGTCCTTCGATGGACATGAGCAATACTGCCTTGTTCCTGTCCCATAACTTTCATGTTTCTTGTACAAATACCCTTAAACTTTAAGCAAGACAGTTAAAGAAACATCCTTGGAAACTGTCAGTCATAGTGCTTTTCTCAAATATTTCAGGCCTTCCCTCTGAAATTATGGGGCCAGATGGCTTGTTTTGGCTATCTGGACAAGGGGAGAAAAAACATGTTCCACATGAAACCTTTACCAGCTTGTGTGTAATTACTACTTCTTTCTCATCCTAACAAAGGCAGAGGCCACAGTCAGTCTCCACCAGCTCAAGTAACCCAGAGATTTCTGTGAGCAATATGCCACTGGTACAGGGCACAATGCACAGAACAGCAAATGGGCTGAGCCAGTGGTGTGTTGGGACTACCTGCTACTGCAGCATAAACTAGCAAGTCCTAACTGACACACACATCTGTGTGCTTCCAGGGCTATACTTTAGAAACTATTCTTTTCTACCCCAGAGAAAGCATGTTTCTATTTTTGACTGTTAAGAACAGAAATTAATTAGTGGTGCATTACCTTTTCCCTAAGTCCTAAAAGTTTCTTTTTTCGTTTCTTTTCTTTGTATTACATAATTCTATCATAAGTCTTATAAAGTACCCACAATCCTCTGTGGAATGAGGTAAACCAACACTGGGCTGAAATCTGGGTTCAATGAGGTCCTAAGACAGTAAGAGCTGATCTTCATTCTGGCCGATTCCTCTTAGCAAACCTTAAGATATCTGAAGGAGGGCTGGTGAGATGGCTCAGTGGTCTAAAGCACCTACTTAGAGCAAGCTTAGCAAAGCACAGGGACCGACCGCAGTTCGGTCCCCCAGCACCACACGCCAGCCAGCCGCGCCCCCTGGTGGGCTGAGCTGGCCACACACACACACACACAAATAAATAAAATTAAAAAAAAAAAAAAGATATCTAAAGGAGTGCACTGGCTGCACAAGTCAGGCAAGACAGAGCGAGGCTCAGTCCTGAGGTATTGCAGGGAGGCTGAGCAGGCAATGCTCACACGTGTACTTCCAGCCAGGAACACTTTTATTTAAAGGAACACAAGCAAGTGGGTGGCTAGCATATGGCAATGAAATGTGAGGCACCTCCAGTAGCGCCCCACTTCACATAGGGTGGGTGATGCCACTTCTCCCGCCCTACTCCTCACGTAGCCTGTTCCAGGAATCCTATGCCCTGGGAATGGTCTGAACTCTGTGGTCATAGAATGGAAAAAAGGAACTATATTAAAAGATTAGACTAACTGAAATTGCTTTTTAAATTCTCAAGAGATGAAATAAGGGTCTAATAAGCAAAGAATACTTTTTAGGTAAAAAAGTTTTGTTTTCAAAATTACCTTAATCCTAATTTCTGTTTCAACAGTTGTCTTTTGTATATCTGCCTCTTTCCTCTTACATTTTTCTTCTTCTCTTCTTTTTCTTTTTTCTTCCTCCCGCAAGCGTTTCTTTTCTAACTCTCTCCTCCTCCTTTCTTCTCGCTTCTCCTCTCGAATCCTCTAAAGGTTCAGACAAGCACACACATATATATTTTCTGGATGGAAACAGCAGATGCAGGAAGGATATTCACTAGGTAAAATGCCAGACCTACCTGTTTTTCTAATTTTCTGTTTTTAATATAGTCCAAAAGAGGTGTGGTTTTTCTAGCTAAAACACAAAAATTGCAATGTAGTATGTATATGTAACTTCTACAATGAGATTTCTTTATTGTAAATACTGATTTTTAATTTAAAATAGTTACAGAATACTATTATTTCAAAAATTCATATGAGCATATACTGTACCCAAGGGAGTTCTTATACCATTACTGTGAGTAGTACGGTGATACAAACAATTTTGTACATGGCAAGCACACCTCCTCATCCTCACTGTATCAGATTGGTGGTACAACCCACCATTTTGCTCAAGTTAAGTCATGGAGTCTTTCAATTCTTTCTGTCCCTCATATTCCACAAGCAATCCACTCACCCTTCCTGTTTATTCTACCTGCAGAGTATGTTAAGTCCCCAATTTACAAACAAGTTCTGTTCCAGAACTGTTCATAATCTGGATTCATGCGCAAGCTGACAAAGTGAATCTTAAACAGTACACCTGTGAAAGTTCACAATGCAACTATTTGTGAGTTGAGGACTTACTCTATATTCTACACTTGCAAGCCTCAAGCAGCATCCTCCCTATGGACAGAAGAGTCTCCCACCAGGCCCAAACTTTTGTCTCAGCATTCAAAGTCATCATGAATGAAGCAATGATGGAAAGACACAAATCTGGTGTCACTCTCTGGAATAAATTCAGGCCCCTTGTCCAGCCAACACCAGGTACATACTTCTCTCCTACATAAGCTTGCATTCAGCTCCTGCAAAACTCCAGCTTGTTTGCTTATTTAACAAACATTTACTTAATTCTCAAACTTCTCTGCACTGTGACTACAAAGGTGACAATACAGTTCCATTGGGGAAATTGGACGTTTAAGAATGAAGGGGGGCTGGTGAGATGGCTCAGTGGTCTAAAGCACCTACTTAGAACAAGCTAAGCCAAGCAAAGCACAGGGACCGCGGTTCAATCCCCCAGCACTACATGCCAGCCAGCCCCGCCCCCTGGTGGGCTGAGCTAGCCACACACACACACACACACACACACACACACAAAATAAATAAATAAATGTAAAAAAAGATTAAAAAAAAAAAAAGAATGAAGGGAATTTACATGCAGGGAGACCAATAGATAAGATCAACTACAAACACCGTTGTTGACACATCTGGTAAATTTTGATGAGTGCTGGACGTAGCCTTGATGGGCACAGCACCACAGCCTTGAAAAGAGGCCCAACATCAAACAAGACTAGACAGGAAGACAGGCTACACAAACTTATTTGGAACTAAACTAATGAGTCTGGCTTGTGATGGATAAAGGTGTTTTGGGAATGACATACATGTCAGATAATACTCAAGTATTTCTAACATACACTACTTTGGGCGTGGTCAAGGGCTAGATTCAAACCAGATTCCATAACATGGCTAGGTGTCTTCAATGGCTGGTTTAGCTTTCTCAGGGTTGAACAGCAGAAAGGCAGCTTCATTCATATTTAGCAAAGCAACTCATCCCATGGGCTCCTGAGCCCCATCCACAACCACTATTTGCAAAGACCCCACTCCACTCAGCTGTGTGGCACAGTACACTCAAGAGACAGCTAGACATATCATCATGATTCTGTCACTGCACTCCACGAAGCACTTATAAAAGGGTGCAGAAGGGGCAGGGAGATGGCTCAGTAGAATAAGCGCTTCCCTGGCAAGTGCAAGGGCCTAAGCTCAATCCCTGGTTCCACCAA